TGGTAGTAGAATAAAGTTCTTATATTATTGCTGTGAATGTTCTATGGTAATTTGATGAAATTCTGATTATGTCAATTTTGTATAAATTCCGTATACTGCTGTTACGCTGCCGGATTTTCGTAGATTTTCTGAAATTGTCCGGATTTTTTTCTGAAATGAATTTTTATGATTGTGTGTGCTATAAAAGGAGTTATAAGGGGTCAGGATCCTGTGAGATCCTGTCTGTGTCAGGGAAAATCTGAATGAGCTCTGAAATCTGTTTATGAATACAAGTTCCGGATCCGATGATAAGTTTTGTTCTGGTGCTATAAGCACATCTGTTCTGGGGTGCCAATGAGCGGAGCTATAAGGGGAAGTTCTGGTGCTGTATGCACAAGGGAGATATAAGGGGAAGTTCTGAAATCTGGAAGGAAGATCTGTTCTGAAATATTTGTTCTGATTTAATCTGTTCTGACTTTTGATATATTCTGAATTGATATGATCTGATTCTGATTTCCGTACGATTCTGTCTGTTCTGATATGAATGCTGATCTGATATGATTTAATCTGATTTCCGATTTTGGTATGTTCTGTCAGTTCTGATGTGATGTATTTCTGTTCTGTTCTGATTTGATTTGATTTGTACGATTCTGTTCTGATTTCTGTATGGATATCTGTCAGATGTGTTTGATGTGGACTCTGAGGATTTTGATTGGAGGTTTGTTGTTTTGCTGAGCTGTTGTAGTTCATCCTTGTTTTCTGCGTGGTTTTCAGGTTCTGGGAAGGGGAAGTAAGTCCAGGAATAGAAGTTCAGAGTCTGATTCCGTATAGGTATTTTTTTTGCACTTTTGATTTTTATACAGTCATGGCTTTTCTGTTGTCTTTCTTTCTGTCTGAAAGCCATGAGCTGTATTTGTACATGATTCTTTTGAGGAAGAAAAAGATAGATGATCTGTTCCGCTGCATTTGATGTTTATAGTAGCTCTATGCGTCTGTTTTTGTCTATATGTTTGGAAGAAAGTTCTGAAACAAATTCCAAAGCCAGATCCTGGAATAAGTTCAGTCAATCAGAATGTTAAGGCACCACGACCCGATGCGAGCGGGATCCGTCCCGGTCGGGTTGGGTCGTGACATGTACTTAGGAAGAAAACAATTCTGGTATTCATAAATATCATAAACAACAAGTCTTCTACACTAAAGAGCTTGAAAAGAGTCTATTTCAAGGCAGTGGCCACGAATTTCAAGGAAACCATCCCTGGTGAGTGAGAAGGGGGGAGTCAACATTAAGATGAGGAGATGCCTCATAACATCGAGACAATAACACCACCGGATCCGCAACACCCGTATTAGCGGACAGAAGGCGTGTATAAGCTCTAGGGGTGTCAATTTTTGACATGACACGAAACACGACCCGAACCCGACCCGAAAAAATCCGGGTTCGGGTCAACCCAAACCCGAAACGGGTCAGGTTCGGGTTGAAGAAATCAACCCGTTTTAAAACCGGGTCGGGTTCGGGTTGACACGGAAACACGAAATTGACCCAAAAGTGACACGAAAAGTCATATTTGACCCGAAAATCCGAGTTTGACCCGTTTTTGACCCGAAAAACGAAGATTGACCCGATTTTTAACCCGAAAACTAGCAATTTTGGGTCAATTCCGTGTCATTCGTGTCGGGTCGGGTTGACCCGGACCCGAATCGGGTCGGGTTCGGGTCCGGAAACCTGACCCGTTTTTAAAAACGGATCGGGTTCGGGTTGACCCGAACAGTGCCGGGTCAGTTCCGGGTTCGACCCGAACCCGACCCGTTGACCCGAATTGACACCCCTAATAAGCTCTTAAATGACATGTTGTGCATTCAAAGGGCAATTACTTGCACAACTAAAATATTTCAAAATACCCATGCACATGCACCGTAGTTTGTATACACATAGGTACACAAAAGGGGTAAATGTAACCAAACATCCGCATGGGCCCCGGCGAGCGTGTTATTGGTACACACGTGACGTCTAGGGATGCTGCGCGGGTCAATAAATCTGAACCTGATCCTCCTAAGAGGTAAATAGGAGTCGATAAGGTTCAACAAATAATTACAAAATTCTCCCAAACACCCGCATGGGCCTTGACGAACATGTTATTGGTACACATGTGCGTCTAGGGATGCTGCGCGGGTCAATAAGTGAATTCTAGTTCGAACACGATCCTTCTATACGAATCAATAGGAGTTGACAGGGTTCGAACCTTCAAACAAATACATGATTGTGGCGACCAGTGTATTTGTTTTAATACATTCATATTCGGCCTTCAAGGCTTATAATCAAGAGAATTCAATAATAAAGGCATAAAACCCATGAAACATGATCCTCTGTCGACCAGTAGACAGAGTCGACAAGGTTCAATCCAAAAAATGGAAATGCCCCCAAACACCCCGATGATGGCTGTGTTGAATGTTTATATCAACCGGAGGGGTCCATTCCAAATATTTCAAAATGCCACACAAACTCCAAAAATCCAAAAAATCTCAAAATCCAATAATTCAAAAATATTTAAAATTAAAGTCTATCCCATCAAATACTTAAAACAAAATTCATCCACCCCCTGTAAAAGTTTGTTGATGTGGACAAATTCAAATATAACTTCTGTTCACAAAGAGCCAAATGCTTAGTCGAAAATATTACTAGGATCCATTCTCAAACAATCTCCTGTCATTAAGGACGTGGTACGTGTACTCTGACCGGCAGTTTTGCCGCCAAATGGCACCGCAGGATAAACTGTTATGACCCAGGGCCCTCTGAACCGAGTGATTTTACCGTCAAATGGCACCACGAAATACCGGTTATGACAAGAGCCAATACGCTCCTTAGTAGCATCAAATCCTCGAGATATGAATCAATAAGATATGATCGATAGGCACAAAGCCCTCTGTTAGCTAAGATGGATTCAAATTTGTCCCCTTAGACAAATATTCACCCCAGGTCTACAAGGTACCATTGGACGAAGCAACCCATGGCTGCCGACAAGGATCCTTCTGTCAGGTTGGGTCGACTACCTCCTCTGACTAAGTAGAACAGGGACCATGATGGCTTGGGACGACGAAACCATGGGATCTTGATCGGGTCTATCATCCATTCCCCCACCATCATCTTTAAGTGTAAGATGGTGAAATTTCTGTTTAAATATCAAATCTGCAAACCTTAAATCTCCAAACCTTCAAATTTCCAACATCCAAACCCGTGCTGCAACTATATGCCAGATAACACGTATATCCTACGTATCTGATTGACAAATAGCCTTAATCGAAAGTTCTCTCTCGTGATCGGGAGGGGTAATTAACTATAGAGGCTTGTTCCTATAGGAAACCTGAACTCAGATCATAAAGTCCTCACCAAATGAGGGCGAAATCTCTGGGTAGTGTCTTATCTACAAATCCATCTGCCTTCCAAAATTTACATCGAAACTTATTCAGTTAAAACTCCCTCGACGAATAAAAAGAAAATCGAGCGGAGGCTGAGGCCGAATTTTCGGAGCCCACATTCATCTAAATTAATGGAATCTATGCTGAGTTTGGTATAATTTAGGGGGTTGTTGTAGGTATTTGTAAAGTGGTTATAGAGTTATTTGGTAAAAAAGTAATTTTTGAAAGTAGTATTATAAAATTTTTATTTTTGAAGAAGTTGGACAATCATTTTCTTACGACCAAACTCCAACAGATCTAATAGTTAATAATTCGATTACCGTCATAGAAATATTTGAAAAACAATAAAAAAGTGCTAACAAAAAAGAGCTATGGATATTATATACAAAGAAAACCATGAAAAAACTGCTCCAAAAAGTCTCATAGTCTCACCGTTGTGAATTTACCTACTTATAATTATTTAATTTAAGTGTACCTATATATTTTAATTATTAGTATGTCTGTTATTGACTTCAATGATATCCAAAGTTACTGCACATGACGCATACTTAAAGATCTAACCTAATTGTTTCAACTGTGATTTGAGTTTAGGGCATCACGTAATCAGCTTCTCTTGAAACTACTGCTAATGCTGCTGCTGTCATTTTTGTGCAAATGTTAACTTTTGGAATAACCAAATTGACACAATAAAAGCCTTGCAAGTGCTTGTTAGGAAACAGAACTCAATCAGTTCAAAATAGATCGCATGTCTTGTAGTGTGTTTCATATGTGGTGGTGGTTGTGGTTCTAAAGCTTGCTAGGATCTAGATCCTAGTCTGAGCAATTTGAGCTGCTCGGTCACCCCAGGAATTAAAAATAAGAAATAAAAAAAAATATATAAAAATGGCAGAACTCATTCATATTCTCATCTCATCATCTTCCCTAATGGGTCCTATTTCTAGAATACAAAGCCCTTGTACTAAGGCAACTCCAATTAACCCACTTCTAACCAAACAATTACGAGTTGATGTGGTTTCACAACAGAGTAAGTGGTAAGTTTTACTTTTAGGAAATATACGTCAGGCAATGTGTACGATTTTAATTTACTTTTGAGTTAGATTTGATCTGTCATTTTCGGTGACGTTTATTCTCGCTTGTTTTGGAGGGATTATTCTGTGCGGCGCTTTTGCTGCCTTTTTATTGTGCTTTTACAAAAGGGCAATAAAATGACAGCAAGTATTCAATTATGAATGCGTTTTTATTGCCCTTTTGCAAAAACGCAGCAAATACGTAACAAATATTCAATTATTTAGTAAACATCAAATATTTGTTGTACTTTTATTGCCTTTTTGCAAAAGTGCAACAAATACGGACGGTCTGGTGTCCGTACAAAATAATCTCTCCAAAAGCTAATTATTATGTGCGGACGCTGGACAAAGAGAACCATTTGAATTTGCTGCACTTTGACTAACATTTTGTCGCGCTTTTGCAAATGGGCAGTAAACACTGAGAAGTCTATTTATAAACTGTACTAGCTGAGTTGGTTTCTTATTAGTATACAGTGTAGCAAGAATTAAGCTTTTGTATAACAACTCTAGAATTAAGGCCTGCTAAATTTTCATCTTTAGGCCTTTGCCTCTGCTGGTTTGGGAGGATGGAAACTTGAAGGAATAGTCAGACCAACTTCAGCACAGTAACTGAGGCCAATATTTTTGATGAGTTTTTCTTCATGTAATGTTAGGTAGCTTAGCGTGTTGATGAATAAAAAAAAAAGAAGAAGGAAGATTTATATGCAATTATAGTCAGTCACATGTGCAGTGACATTTTGTACTCGGCTCAACCTTACAGATCAATATGTTTTACAATCTTGGTTGCTCTAGTGTACAGAATAAATAGGGCAATATCACCACCTACCAATAGAGGAAATTCTTTTGGCCCTTCGTGAAATATTTTTAGATGGTAATTATAATTTTTATTTTATCATTTTATAATTGCTTTTAAAAAATTTTATAATAAAAAGTTGTTTTCCTTAATAACTTTTCAAATTATTTTCTCTATTACAATTATATAAAGTAATAAAAAAATTATATCAAATAAAATCTAAGCTAAAAATCATGCTCTTATTCAACTATAAACTAATTTGTTGTGTGCTGCGGCCTTCAAACGTAGAGCTGAGTTTCCGCATAGAATAATTTCTTCTTGCAATAACATGCTACGCTATTGTGCGGTTTGGCCTCAGATGTACCTCTGGTGAACTATACATATTTAAGTTGTACATGAGCGAGATTATGCGAATAAAAAAACTTCAAGGCTGCTGATGCTACACCTGAGTTTCATCATGGTGGGCACTTTTGTTTCATATTAGAATCAAAACAACAATCTATTACAAATAGATTAGGTTTTTTTTTTTCTTTTAAGAGGCTTCTTTAATTTATTTATCACAAGCAATCAATTTTAAGACATGTGCAGGAAATTTTCACAAGAAATTGTACTAGGTAAAAAAGTAAAGATAAAAATAGAGTAGGAAGAGAAAGGATATTATGGCTCAGCTATTAATTAGCTTACGTCCACTCTTTAAATTTTCTCTGGGTTTTGTTAATAATCTCTTCTTTCATAATTATAAGTATGGGCGGAGGGAAGTGGGGCAAGGGGGGCCCATCCGAAACCTCCGAAATTATCTTGATCACAAATCTTAAGACAAAATCAATTTTGAAACCTCCGAAATTAAATCGGAGATCATCCGAACTCTGATTTCAACAAACTTATAGGTGAATTGAACATCTCAGAATTACAAATGCAATGACACCAAATTTAACTCAATCTGAGCCCAAATGGACCCAAATCAAAAACTCGGAGCATTTGAAAAGTTCAAACAATAAATTGGATGACTAAACTATTTCCAAACTAACATGCCTAAGTCGAATCAAGCAGCTCGATGAGACAAATCCAATGAGTCCAAGATCACCAAATTTTGATATCAATAAAAATATTCAAATGCCCAATAAATAGTTCATGATCAAAATCAATATATGCCGTCCATGCAAACAACTTCTAACTTATCCTTGATATCCTTCATATTTATTGGTCATAACACTCTCAAAATTTATAAATAGATCACTCATTTCTCATAGAATAGAGCTCAAATAAGGAAGAAAAAAAAGAGAACAAGGAGAGAGAAACTAGAGTTCTCTTGGCACCAAACTCCTCGACTAGAATATAAGTGCATCATAATTTGCATATGCTAACTTTTGTGTTATTCATTTGAAGATGTTTGTCAAATATCTTTTCAATAGCAAAGGTGGTGTTTCTGGTTAATAAATGTGGTTTTAATCGTGTAAGACAATCTAAATGAGAACCTCCAAAGACTCATGGACAACTATTTTAATGTATTCTAACATTCTATATAAGATGACAAACAAAAGTATTTTAATTTAGCACCCCCCCGCCCCCCCCCCCCCCTAAATAAAATTTCTAGCTCCAACACTGATTATAAGGTGGAAAAGTTTTTCTTCTATAGGGGTAATAGAGAAATTCTACAACACTTCTTAAAAGTGAGAAGTTACTTATTTTCAGTGCATACTTTTAAGATTATTTTGAGGCTTCATTTATGACAGCTTTATTATTTATTTTTATAATATTTTTTGTTAAAAAAAAATTGTGAAAATCAACAAAAATAGTGTTTAAAATCTATCCTAAATGACGCTTAAGATCAAGGTCTTTTCTTTTCAAGCTCTCGAAAAATAAGATGATTATTCTACTTGTGGGATAATTTTCTCATTTAAAATCTTTCCTCATATTTCTTTGGGATATTTAGCCATTTAAGCAACTCAACACACACGAATCATACAAGAGATCAAAACCTAGACTCTTAGTTTGAAAGTCTTGTCTCAACCACGAGGCAAGAGAGAAGCTGTGTAAAATCTTTCTATATATCTTATACATGATGGTAACTTTTGATTATATTGAATACTTTAAGACTGCGAACTTTTCAATAGATATGTGACCTCTTCTTGCATATATTTAATCTTATTTATATGAAAATAAGATTATTGGCGATTGATTCGATCAATTCCAACTATAATTATACTAACTTTCTTAATAATCCTATTTGTTAATTAAATTACATAGAAATTATGTTTACAAGTTACTAATATATATATATATATATATATATCTACAATATATGATTAGTTCAAATTTTAAAAAATTTAATTATTAATCCAAATTAATAATGTATTTTGGATTTAAAATTATAAGGCTTGTGGTATAGGATATCATTATCATATATTACAATTAAGTTAAATTTTCTGTCAACTTTTTTCAATGTAAATTTGCTGGAATTTTTTATTATTAGTACTGATGGTTAATACGTTAAAAATCCCTCAAATACTTGTAAGAAAAAGAAAAAAAAATCATTTATAATTGCTATCTTGAAAGCAAAGTAACAAAAAAATCATCCCAAATAGACCCCAAATGTCAAATATTTATTTCTGGTGGAGGAAAATATTGAAAGTTAATTACATAAATTTTATTGGGAAAAAAAATTTATGTGACAATGTCCTAATATATTTTATCAAGAAATTTTTTAAAATTATGACACTTAAAAATACTGGATTTAAGTTCAAGTCACATATTTGTTTAATTCATCTTTAGTTTAAAATTTACAAAAAAGAAATATCTATAACTATTTGAAAAACAAATTAATGATTGAAAATATTTATATCAAATTTGAAAAATGATTGTAGACATGGATTTCTAATTTTGATATAAAATATTCAACTAAGAAAGTTATCAACAATAATTTTAAGGATAAATATAAAAGTTTTTTAAAATATTTTTATGAAATATGAAATCTAACGATTTAACATTAAAGGCATAAAAATAATTGTATTTTTTATTTGCACGTTTTTCGGGTTTATCAAGTTTTAAATTGTTTTCTTTCTAAAATTTTCTTTTCTTGCATTCAGATTCATTCCCTTAGATAATTATGCTTGTGAATTAATGACGATGATTGCATAGCTCCAATAGGTCAGTGATATAACACTTCAACTACCGAATTTCATTTCAGGTTCATTAACTTCTTTTTAAGTTTCAAAGCGCTGAGCAATTTCAATCTTTCTCTGTTGTGAGATCCTTTGTGTTATTGGAAGTCTTTAATGAAAATTCCATCTGAATTATTTATGGAACACATGGGCCAAAACTTCTCTCACTTTCAGGTCAAAAGTTTTATTCTTTTTTTTTTTTGGGAAATTTTGGGGCCATGGCCCAAATTTTCATTGATGAATAAAAGATTACAAAAAACCAAAGAGTTCTACAAAATGACTACCATACATAAGCAAAAAACAAAAACTTATGTAGGGTCAAATAAAACACCTCAAAGATAAAACACAGCAAAACAGTAAAAGAAATACAATGTTGACATTCAAAAAATAGCACTTCTAGCCAAATACGGCCACAATCAAAAGTTTGATTGAACCAGAAAGAAAATGCATCTGCAGCACGAGAAGCCAAAACTCCGATCTAGTCTTAGAGCAGACGAAACCTTCCAGGTTGCACTGTAGCTTAGATTCCTGTTAAAACATAAAACAGACAGGGAGAACAGAACTGCAGCAGGTTGCATTTTCAGTTGAATACCATAAAGCACCAGTTAATATTAAACCAGCTCCAATATACATTTAACCAGGACTCAGAGAAATAATAGAGGACCAAAGAGGATTCCCCTGGTTGCCCAAAGACCGTCCAAGGGGAATTATTATGATTTAAAAGGATCTTCATCATTGTCCTGGTTAAAGAACCAGCCCACCAGTAATCTCCAGCTAACGAAGGGTCCTTGAGATTAGAAGTTCTCCAGCAGCTCATCAAAGTTTCTCCATTTACAAGCTCTGCTAATAACCACTTTTTTCACAAAAAACTTAAGAGAAGAGGCACTACAAACATCACTGCCAAATCTCCGGTTATTCCTCTCCCTCCAGATTTGATAGATTAAAGTGCAAACCGTCAATAAGTAGAAATTCAATGTGATTTGAGATCCAGAAAATTCAGTCTCCATCCAGTGGAACAATTGCAAAATAGTAGGCCGTAACAGAAAATTCATACTACCAGGTATTATAGAACTGAGAATTGTAAAGGAGTAAGGGCAATCAAAGAAAATATGATTAATAGTTTCAGGTGCAGAGTAACACAAAGAGCAATTCACCAGAACATTTATGTTTCTCAGCCTTAAAGCATCTTGGGTTTTCAAACCCCCAACCAAAGCAAGCCACACATAAACCGAATGTTTAATCATACCCTTTTTGTGCCAGACAAAATTGTGCCAATTATTATCAGGTAAATCAGAGTAAAAATCCTTGATATAGTCTCTAAATTTAGGGTGAGCACAGTCCTTCCAAAGCAAACAAGAGCCCTCACTCTCCAGAATTTTAAAACTGCTTACTGCATTTTTCAAAATCTGAGGAATATTGTTGTTAAAAACCCAGTTATTATTGGATATGTAATTCTTCAGATAAGGAAAAATGAAACAATCCAGGGAAACACCACCCACATATTCAGCCAGGGTGATATTACTGCACCAATGATCCCAACACAGAGAGATGGGTGCATTAGGAGTAATCACAAATTTGAGTTTCCTCTTTATACTAGCAGCAGTCTTACAGACATTAATCCAGAATTTACTATCTTTATGAGTAGTGGGTTTCTAAGGAGAGATGTATTGAGCAGATAACCAAGTGGATAGAGAAGAAGGACAATTATACATACGCTGGATCACAGAACAGTTAAAAGCATGTTGAATGGCAGCTATAGAAGGAATACCCAATCCCCCTTTCTGTTTTGGCAAACAAACATTGTCCCATGAAACCATGTGTAGCTTTTTTAGGCTGGTAATGTCTCCAAAAAATAGAAATTTGGAGCAAGTTTTTCTAAAAAACTTAAAAACAGTCTTAGGTATAATAGAGCCTCTAATCCAATAGACTATGGTGTTCTGAATAGTGAATTTTAAGAACTGTAATCTACCAGCAAAAGATAGTAGATTTGCCTTCCACCCGATAAATTTCTTGTGCAGTTTATCCATCAGTGGCATAAAATCCTTAACTTTTAATCTAGTAAAAGAAATGGGAATGCCAAGATAAGTTAACTTAGTGCTGACATTCGTAATAGAGAGAGCTTGACAAAGCATTTCTTGGTTTCTTTGATTCTTTGAGAACATGATAGAACATTTTTCATAATTTATATGAAGCCCAGTTGCATTTGCAAACTCTTTAAGAACAGAAGAGAGGATTTTACAGTTGTCAATAGTGGCATCACCCAAAATTAACACATCATCCGCATACAAAATGTGTGAGAGATGATAGTTATCAGTTTTGAATCCTTTAAAACCTCTTTCATCAAGAAGATTGGACAAAACATCCATAACAATGCAAAAAAGGTATGGGCTAAGGGGACACCCTTGCCTAAGACCAGCAGAAGAGGAGAAGAATCCTTCCAGTGCACCATCAATGATAATAGAGAAGTTAACTTTTGTAATACAAGCCTTAATCCAGCTAATAAAAGGCTTAGGAAACCCTTTTTGATGCATACGTGCCAATAGAAATTCTCTAGAAATAGTGTCAAAGGCCTTTTTGATATCTAATTTAGCACAAAAAATGTTGCCAGCCCCACCCTTATTAACCAAAGAGAGAATATCATTGGCTAAAAGAATACTATCAGTCGAAATTCTAGCCTTCACAAATCCAGCTTGAGTTTCTTTGACAATAAGGGGCATAATAGGTTTCATTCTACCAGCAATTATCTTGGTTATAATTTTATAAAGGGTGTTGCAAAGAGAGATGGGCCTATAATCTGTAATAGAGGCAGCATTACAATGTTTTGGTATTATTGCAAGTGTAGTAGCTTTAATACCACTAGGAAGATACCCTTTAAAAAAGAAGAATTTAATAGCTTTGCATACAAGAGGACCAAGAATGTGCCATGCCGTTTTGTAAAAGTGATAATTGAAACCATCTGGTCCAGGTGAAGAATTGGAGGAGCCTTTAAAAACAGCTGCTTTAATCTCATCATCCAAAATCAGAGAAAAAGCAGATTAGAGTAATAATCAGGAATAGGAGCACCAATAGGAAAATAATCCAAATATCTACCAGAAGGAGGAGTAGGATTAAACAAATCCTGAAAGTGATTCGATATGGACTTAATCACTTCCTCTTTGGCAATACTCGGATTAGAAGAAAATAAATTCACCAAAGATTTAGAGCTACCAATACGGCTCCTGATTTTCCCGTAAAGAAATTTGAGGTCATCTTCACCATGTTGCAACCATTTAAGTTTTGCTCTTTGAATAATCCAGCTAGCGTGATTAGATGAGACATCAGAAATTTTTAAGTTAATGTCTTTGAGGGAAACGCCAAGAGCTCCATCCAAAGGATTAACCATAATAAGATCTAAAATGTCTTGCTGCTTAGCATGAAGATAGTCTAACTGAAGATTAAGAGAGTTAGCATTTGCCCAATCTTGATTCTTAATATCTCCTTTTAGTTTTTTAAGGACATTACAGAGATGAGATAAAAGGTTACCAACTAAAGGCAAAGAGAAAGCATTTAAAATAGAAACCCAATATCTATCAAATTTAGTCCAGTAATTCTTAAACAGAAACCGGTGATGAGACTTAGAGGACCTCCCAGCATGCAAGATAATGGGGGAATGATCCGAGCAGGACGGGTTCAAAAAAGAGCAGTATGCATTAGGAAAATTCTCTACCCACTCCTCATTAACAAGAACACGGTCTAGTTTTATGAAGATGGGATTAGCAACTTGTTGATTATACCAAGTGTAGAAGTTACCCACTGAATGCAAGTCAACCAAACTATTGGCAAAGATCATGTTATTAATATCAACCAGATTGGAATGATGAATAGGGGTGCCGCCAGATTTTTCATTTGCAAACCTACAGCAATTAAAATCCCCCAAAATTTCCCACGGCATAGCAGGAGAAGGAGCTACAATATTTAAAGTAGACCAAAGATCTTTCCTGTCAGAAGAATTGTTAAAAGCATATACTATTGAAATCTGAAATTGAAGGAGATTTCCAACAGTAACCGTCCCATTGATCATTTGCGGGGAGATGAGAGTAGGTGTAAAATTTAACTTATTGGCATCCCATTTAATCCAAATCCTCCTAGAGGAAGAAAGATTAAAGTTGTGAACACTGGCTTCATTTGAAAACAGTAGGTGGGAAGAGTCAAAAAAGGGGTCCTGAAGAGAAGGGGCATGAATGCGGGTCTCCAGCAGACAAAACAAATCTAGCTTGTAAGAATTAATAAGCCTTTTACAGCTAAGAACTTTTTCTAGCCTGTTAAAACCTCTTACATTCCACACACCTATGGAAGGAAGAGACATTTAATTATTGGATTGAGGATGGGGTTTTTTACTCTGCTTACCCTTTGCAGATTTTTTGGAATTGTCGGAAGTAGTTTGCTTTTTTGCTTTTACCCGTTTGTTTCTGAGAAGTTCCTATATCATAAGAACATTCCGCCATATAATCTTGCAGCTCCAATTCATTTTGAGAGTTTAGGATCTCAAATTTGTTAGGTGACGTGATGCTCGAAATCGGTTTAGAAGTATTGTTCAACAAAGATGATGAAGATTCAGAAATTTCTTCAGTAGGAATATTCAAATTTGGAATATTTGCTACTAAGACTTCAAGCATAGGATCATCCTTATGTGGATCAGATTGGCGTGACTTTGCAAAAGGTTGGTTCTCAACGCATTCAAAAGCAACCTGTGCTTTATCTTTATTGGTCGTAGGTTGGGGAGAATGGGCTTGGTAATGAAGTAGTTGACCAAGACTGTTGGTGTGTAGAGGGATAGTTCCACAGATTATATTATTAGCTATAGAATTAGAGGCTTTATCCTTCAAAACAGAGTCCGAACGTGGAGGTCTCGAGGATGAAGGAGGTCTTGAAGGGATGCGATTAACGGGTTTTTTACTGCTACTCCTACCTCGGTAATTCGAAAAAATAGGTCTAGAATCCGTTCCTAGAGAGGTAGGATTCGAAGGACAAGAAGCAGAGTAATGAACTAAAGACTTACAGTGTTCACAAGGTACCGGCCTCCATTCATATTGCACCTTCAGTTCTATCACATTGCCATCCAGAGAAACCTTAATCACGTCAGGGTATGTTGCATTGCAATCCACAAGCACACAGACACGAGCAAAAGTCAACCGGGTCTTTTGCTCCGTGAGATGATCAGCAACCAACGGAACACCGATTTTACTAGCGATTCTTGAGATCCCTTCCGAATTCCAACAAGCCAGTGGCAGATCATGGATTTTAACCCAGATAGGAACAGATGAAAAATTTTCACGCTTAGGTTTGAACTTTGGATGCCATTTTTGAAGAACAAAAGGCTTTCCAAGTAGAAACCAAACACCTTTAGACCATGCCATGTCGAAATCTTCAACACAGGAAAAGCGCAGAAGAAAGAAACCATCACTAAGTGAGAGTAGCTGGAGAGCACCTTTAAGAGACCACGTTTTGTTAATCGCTCCTAACAGAGCTTCATAGTAAGGTCTTCTCCCGATAGAGTAACCTACAGGACACAGATTCCAATCTTCGCCGCCCTCAGTAAGTTTCTCATTAGAGAAGGGAATAATATCAGGCTCTGAAGGGTGGTGAGAAAAGCTGAAGACTTTAGGAACAGAGGAGGCGTCTGGAGCAAAAATCTGGTTCCAGTTGCGCAAAGTAGCCGGAGCAACTGCACCAGATGAAGAAAGAGGTGGAAAATCCGAATCAAGGAGAGAAGTCTCCATGCAGGAAAGCCTCCGGGAGAGCCGGAGGGGCGGCGGCGGAGGAGAAACTCAGCGAGGGAGCAGAAACCCTAGCAGAGCAAAATATCGCCTCGCACAAATCTAAAAGTTTTATTCTTGATGGACAATGAAATTTCCCCTCATTTTTACCAATTTCCATTACCTATGCTATTTCCTCTGTGCTATTTCTGTGGATGATTTGACTTGTCATTGGCTTTCTTCTGATAAACCTGTTTTTAGGAACTTAATTTTACAATTTTTTGTTGATTTTCCTAAGGTTTATTGGCATAAACATTATGTGCTTCATTTTTTTATTTATGCTTGGTTGGCCTTAAAGTAGGGTCTGAAAACTGCGGATGCTATGAATCAGAGGGGAATAACTATAAGCAAACAAATATTTGTAACTCTGTTTAGTTAACTTGTACCACAGTAACATTGTATTCCCTAGCTTATCTATTTATAGTCTCTGTAAAGCTCATATCGATTAGTTGAATACATTTCCCTTTTATTTTCTTTCTTTCGTTTCTTGCCGTCTTCTCTGCCAGTCTGGGTTCACAACATGGTATCAGAGCCAGCTATGATGGATCAAAGTTCGTCGGCACGTCAGGCTCCCAATCTCGTTTCTTCTTCTTCTTCCCTCACAGATTTCACTGTACCAGCTCATCTAAAGTTCTTGATATCAAATCTCAAGAACTTAGTACCGACTCAACTCACCGCCGATAACTACATAATTTGGTGACTCCAATTTCTCCAGCACTTCACTACAAACGAATTCGCCAAACATCTCATCGGATCATCCATCTGTCCCTCCGATCTAACCGATCCTAGTTTCACAGGTTGGAATCTCATAGACAAGAATTTAATCTCTGCTCTTCTTTCTACAATTTCCCCCTCCATTTTACCATACGTGGTCTCCTCCTCCACCGCCCATGAGGCATGGACCACTCTGGAAAAATGTCTTCAATCGGCAAGCCGTTCAAGAGTCATTCAGCTCAAGAACGAGCTTCACCATGTTCAAAAGAAAGACTGCACTATGCAGCAATATCTTGCAAAAATTAAAACCATTGTGGACGCCATTGATGCCTCCGGCTCCAACGTAGATCAAGAGGACATCATACTATACATACTCAACGGTCTACCGTCCTCATACAATTCGTTCAAGATGTCAATTCAGACATCTCTTCTCCCCATCGATCTCGATACGCTATATTCGCTTCTCTGCAGCGAAGAGATCCATGTTCAACAAGAAACTGGAAAAGAAAGCTTCCCTTCGTCCGATTCGATCGCCCTCTATTCCAATGCCTCCTCAGCCAAGTTTAGGAACAACAAGAAATTCTCCAAAAATAAGAACGCCTCATCTTCCCCCTCTCCATCAAATGCAGCAACCAACAGTCAACCGGGAAGCTCCACTACCCGACCGATTTGCCAAATCTGCGGCAAAATGGGTCATGTTGCCATAAATTGTTGGCATCCGTGCAATCTAAATTACGTCCCAACTTCATCCCGGCTGCCAAGAGCCATGCTCACTCAATCTTCCTCCAATTCGAACCAGGAATGGGTTCTTGACTCGGGAGCATCGACTCACATTACCCCTGACGTATCCAACATCAACTACCCGTCAGCCTACGGAGGATCAGACGTCGTCTCCATAGAAAACGGTTCCTCTCTTTCAATACACAACACAGGGCAAGGCATTCTTCCATTGCCAGACACCGACCGTAAGCTACACCTGAGTAATTTACTTCACGTTCCCTCACTAACACACAACTTACTATCTGTCTCAAAATTAACCACCGATAATTCTATTCGTATTTGCTTTGATGCTAATGGGTTTACAATCAAGGATATGCAGGATCATCGACCACTCATTCATGAGAATCTCCGTAACGGTCTATATCAGCTCCAACTAGCTCCCACCGATTCTATCTCGGCACTCGAAGCTACAAGAACCACATCCAATC